AAATCCATTAGAAACTGAATTGGCCTAATCTCTCTCGACCCCATTCCTGAGCCTTCTGCTTTTGCAGAAGCTGGGGATATTGCCGCCTTAATTAATGCTCGTCCTCTCCAAATGGCGTCAGCACTGTTCACTGTTCATTGTTCAGAACAAGCTCCTAGCTCACTCTTTCCATGCCTGGAAGAACCACTGTACTTCACGGATGGCCAACTTTCATGTCAGGAAAAATAATCCATCATTTTGCAACCAGGTAGACTTGATCAGCTATTGCAACCACTGCAGAAAGCTCAAAGGTTTGGTGAGCAAGGACAGAATTTGTATGCCTTTCAGGGCTTCTCTGTCTTTACCGTCGTTATATGTTTTTCGGTGCCAGGCAAAGACCTTTTTATTCAAATGTCATTTTAATTGTTAATAGTATTTATTCATTTTATTCTTTGGCCAGGGCGATTTAATTTATACTGTTAATTTATATTATTTTATGGAAGCTTATTTATGGATGTGAGCTGCCCTGAGGCTTCGGCGAATGGGGCGGCATAGAAGACTCTAAATAAATACATACATACATACATACATACATACTTTGTGCTAGACCATTTTGCACCTTAAGCAAGCAAAACAACGACCCTGCTAGGCTGCACAACGTGGGCAACTTTCCCTCCTAGCAAAAGTCCTTCACATTCGCTTTGTTAGGAATGAAATTCCAAGCAGTGACGATACGGGAGGCAAAGTACCAAGCAGCACTAGTTTCATACGTTCTTGCAAGAGCGGGTGCCCACCACACAGGCAGCGTGCCGTTTTCACAAAAGACATTGCCTTTTATTCCCTTTTTCTGGCTCACAGACCTGCCTCTTTTCTCCCACTGGCTGGGTTACTAAGAGGTCATGTCAGAATCCCAGAATCTCAATTTGAGAAGAGGGAATAAAACTCGAGTTTGTGGGAAAGACCAAGTGTCCAGACCATCTGAGGCTTTATTGTATTTACCCCAAGGTTCCCGCGGTACTCACAATAATGCATGCATTACCTGGCAGGCAGAGGTGAACTCTGCTGCCAAGCTTCAATACCATTACAGGGCATTTATAGGTACACAGGTACAGGGCAATTGATGACAGAATGCAGAGATTACAATAAGATTCTGAGGTCATCCCATACAGAACAGATAAAGAAATGTCAGTCAATCACACAGTAACAATGAGATCACAATATTTCTAATTGCCTGTATTGACACTTTAGTTCAGTAGCTTGAACCCACCTCCAGGTCTGCTTAGACATGTAAATTCAAGCTACTGAAACTATGCATGAGCTCAAGACTCTTATCTACTTCTAGGCATTCTGAATTGGCCAGGGCACATGGAGCCTCTGGGCTATCAAAAGATACTTCCTTGTAAACTGAATTCCAACAATGACTATTTAATCATTCTGAAGGTATACAATGTAAATGTGGACTAAATGGCCTGTGTACTGTAACCCACAGCTAAAGGTGAGAGAAAGGAGCAGGGGGAATGCCATTTTAAACAGTGACAGCTTGGTTTTGAGAAGGAAGACAGGATTTGATCCCACAATGGAAAAAGCACACAGAAGTAATGTTTTTCAGACAGGATTTATCCAAATTTTCCCAACAGTCACAATCTTCTCCGTTCATCATACTACTTCTTGATATGTTCCCCCTCCAGCTCATACATCCCATGCTCATTACCTATGAGAGGTGTGTCAGTTATTATCCATAAGCCTATTAAGCGTGTGCACTACTTTCTAAGAGTTCAGTAGGCCGTCTTGGCCTTGTAACTGGCTGGCTTGATGACCACTTATTTCTTAAATCTTGGAGGAGGACGAGATAGGAGAACAGCCCTTCCTCCGAGCTCCTAACGGCCAGTTGTAAGAGGCAATCATTTTCCTACTCCCTTCCGCAAAAGGTGACAATTTTTCCATTGCCCCCAACCTCACCTCTCTTGTGTTCTTCAGGATTTTGATGTAAGAAGCACTATTGTTTTTATGACAGCTCTTTGCATGGTTCTGTCCTCAGGCCCTTTCGCCTTAAGAGGTTTCAATGGCCTTACCCAAGCCCTTTATTTCATCCTTGCTTCAGTTATCACCTTCCTGCTTAGTAACAGTAATTTTCCATTTCTCATAACTTGGACAAGGATTGCAGGATGTTTTGTTTGTTTAGTTTTGGTTTCAATTTAATGAAATTCACAATAAAAATGGGGAAAAAAACACTGCTTCCACATGGCTGGCTATATACAGGGTGATTTGCTAATTGCTCTCACAGTGTGCGCCTTTCTGTGTCATCAGAACCTGGCCAGTTGAGCAGTGGGGGCTGGCTTCAAAGACCCCCTAGGACCTCACAACAAACTGTGGGTACTGGGTGTGGTTTTGAAGGCACCGCTGCTGCACACTGCATGGGTTTTGGATGACGAGGCAAGCCGCGCACTGCGAGGGTGATTAACAAAATCACTCCGTGCACAACTGGCACACGTGAGGCAGGGAAAAGAGGCCACTGTGGCTTCTTCCCTCAGTGATTGTGCAAAACTGGGCTCCAGGCCTTACCACAAGGCTTGGGGTGGCTATCAGGGGGTGGGGTGGAGTCCACACACCTTTCTCCCAGTGCAATGCTAAGTAGCCCTCAGACCTTCAGGGTCAAGGTGCAACACTTCGGATCCTGGCAGGTAGGTGACTTCTGTAGAAAACTGAGAGTTGGCTCAGCTTTCAGTGATCCCTTGGTTTTGCCGCAGCTGGTCCACACCATTCAGACTGGACACCATTTGCTACTGTTGCATGAGACACATGGACTACTTTGTGGCCCCTAAACTCACCTGCTGCCCTCAGGGTATATTTATTTATTTATTTATATCCTGCCTTTTTCCTGCAAAGGGCTCAAGGCAGCTTACATCATTCTCCTCCTCCATCTTATCCCCACAACAACAACCCTGTGAGGTAGGTTGGGCTGAGAGTCTGTGACTGGCTCAAAGTCACCCAGTTGGCTCCATGGCTGAGCGGGGACTAGAACCCAGATCGTCTGAGTCCCAGTCCCGTGCTCTGAACTACTGCGCCACACTGGCTCTCAATGCTCCCATTGCCAGTGTTAAGTATTATCTTTGTTGGATCAGCTTCTCCATGAAATCTTGTGAAATCTTGTCTTTGTTTCAGGTGGCAAAATGTCTTGGACCTGCTCTGGACATATCCTCTTAAACAAAGCTGGATAGAATAGCAAATACCCAAATACAGTGAGATCTTGATAGACAAAATTGCTGGGCAGAGAACAACAGAATGAAATTCAGTAGGGACAAATGCCAAGTCTTCCACTTGGGAATGAGAAACCAAATGCACCTCTACCATATTTGACTCAACAATACTGCAAATGAGAAGGATCTTGGGGTTTTTGTAGATCACAAGCTAAATATGAGCCAACAATATGATGCAGCTGCAAAAAGGGCAAACACTATTTTGGGCTGCGTTAACAAAAGAATCATTTCCAAAAGATATAAAGTACTAGTTCCTCTATATTCAGCACTAGTCAGACCTTACCTAGAGTACTGTGTCCCGTTCTGAGCACCTACGTTTATAAAAGATGCAGAAAAGCTAGAAAGGGTACAGAGGAGGGCAACAAGGACGATCCAGGGTTTGGAAACACTGCCCTGTGAGGAGGGACTGAGAGAACTGGGCATGTTCAGCCTCGAGAGACGAGGGAGGGAGGATATAGCAGTCCTGCACAAGTACCTGTAAGGCTGTTGCAAAGAGGAACAGCCATTCTTCTCATCCATTCCTGAGGGCAGGACACAGAATAACGGACTCAAGTTAAAAGAGACCAGATACCAGGAAGAATTTCCTCACTGTCGAATCAGTACGACAATGTAACCTATTACTCAGGAAAGTTGTGGGTTCTCCCGCATTGAAGACATGCTAAAACCATCTAGACTGGTGGTGCCGAACCGATGGTATGCGTGCCACAGCGGGCACGCAGAGTGCTCTCTGTTGGAACGCGAGCCAAGTCGCCCCAGCATTGCCCCAGCAGCCAAGCATTGGATAGCAGCGCACGCAGGGGCCATGCGCATGCTTGGAAAGGAGCAGTGGTGCCAGGTGATGTTGTCATGAGCTGCGACTCATCCAAGCTTTCGCATGGCCAGTCAGTGCGCTGCCAAGGAGAGATGAGACACACACACACACACACACACACACATACATATACATACATACATACATACATATATGTATGTATGTATCTATGTATTTGTTTGGACTGACTGTGAGTTGTTTTTTCGAAACTAAAACCTCAGTATTCAGGTTTTATTGCAGTGCTGGCACTTTGCAATAAATAAGTGGGTTTTGGGTTGCAGTTTGGGCACTCAGTCTCTAAAAGGTTCGCCATCACTGATCTAGACAGTCATCTGAATGGGACAACATAACTTAGTGTCCTGCAAAAGCAGGGGGCTGGACCCGAGGGCCTTCTGGCCACTTCCAACTCAACTATTCTATGATTCTAGATAGTCAACCTTATCTTGTGTCGGTCTTCAAAGACAGCCACCCAGCAGAACCTCCAAGTTCAGAGGCAGTGTATCTCTGGATACCTCATCCTGGCATGACAAAACAAAGCAGAAGAGAGCCATTGGCACCTTTTATGCCCCCGCATTTGTGGCACAACTCACTAGATTCGAATTTCCAAAGGTTTCTCAAGAACAGCTGCCTGCCTATATCCAACCTCGTGTCAGAAGGGTTGAACTGAGAGTCCTATCATAACCCGCCAGCTGGCTGTGCATGATGGGAACTGCTGTCCAGCACCAAGTTGAAGAAGGCTGGACTGCATTGCTTCTTTGTCTAACCCAGCAAGGCTCTGCTGATGTTGTTATGAGCAACGCGAGGCAAGGCGAGATGACAAAGCGACACTCATTTGATCTTCCAAAGCGGCTCGGCGAGGAAAATTAGGCTTATCGAGAGAGAGAACTACAAATCCCAGAAGCCCCCTCCCTCCCTTGCTTTACGGGAGCGAAGGCGGGAAATAGGAGGACTACATGTCCCAGCAGCCCCCGAGCTTCCTGATTCGTGCGTTGAGGAGATCGGATTGGCTCAGAGGTGGGAGGCGAAAGGGAATTGTCGGGAGAGGCGGCCGGGAGAAAATGAACGCGGCAGCTGCGCAGGCAAGAACTCCGTGGAAGCCGATAGGGGGCCAGGTGGAGGGGATAAAATGGCAGGGGGCTCGGCGGGAGGCGGGTCGGCTGCCCCGCGCACTTTTGCGGGCTAGGAAACTTTCCCAGAGTGGGGTTGCGTGGGTGAGTGGGGAGCAAGGGCTGCCTTCTGGATCTTTCTCCCCTGCCTGGCTTTCAGGAGGAGGAGGAGTGGGGAGCAAGTGCGAGGAGGAAGGGGACTGATGCTCCTGAGATTAGTGAGAAGGGGGGGCGAACGGGGCCTCGGAAGGGGAGACGAAGGAGGCTGAGGGGCTGTTCCTCTTTGGGTAGTGTACGGGAAGGGAAGCGCAGTGCTTGCCCTGCTGGTGTTTCTGGAGCGTGGAAAGCCCACACCGTCTTCCTTGGGAGTCCCGTAAGGAGGAAGGAACCATAACCCCGAAGCCCAAAAGTTACCCTTGGCCTTTTGTCTCAATATGGGATTGTCTACCGCTTCCCAACACAGTGCCCACGATTCTTTATTTTTTTAAACTTTATATTTTGCCTCTTTTCCTGTAAGGAGCCCAAGACGGTTTATAGTATTTTCCTCTCCATTTTTAACCTCACAACAGTCTTGTGAGGCAGGTTAGGCTGGGAGTCAGTGTCTGGCTCAAAATCACCCTGTGAGCGCCATGAGGACTAGAACCTGCATCTCAGGTGTGCTGACCGAAGTGCCACGCTTGGGAGGGCCGACAGGCAGGACTGCAGCCCGAGCCTGGATGGAGACATTACTCCAGCTCAAGTGCTGCCTTTGTGGGGAGAGGGGAGAGACTGAGTGGCGGAGCCGTTGCTTCGCATGCAGAAAGTTGCTGTCCTCTCCAATGAAAAAGTGGATTTGGGGTAGACTAGCAGCAGAGAGCCGCGACCAGGCAGAGAAGATGGTTTTGGGCCAGATGGGGCAACCGCCTGACTTGCTGGCGGTGAATGAGGAAGCTGGAAGGAGGATATTTAGTGGGTGTGGAAGAGACAGTGGCAGTATTTAGTGGTGGGAAAGTGTGTGGTTGAGGGGAAGGAATTTTGGGCAGTGAAGGATGCCTGGCCTGGAAGCAAGGACTGCAGTTATGCGCTTTTTAGTGTGGTGTGCTCTGTGCAACGGTTGGGCCATGCTTCCTACTATTTGCTTGTCCTGAGGCTGATGTTTGAAATACGGTGTTTTGGAAGGGCCTGTGCTTTGCACACTGTCGCTGAAGGGTCCAGTTTAGGGAGTGTCACACAGAGGTGGGTAGAGACCAATTTGCCTTTGCGGAGGGCAGGACATGTTCCAGTGGAGCAAGGCTCAGGGAACCAGGATTTAGGGTGGATGCTGGGAAGTACTTCCTGACACTTAGGACCACTAGGGCATGGAATGGGCTTCCACGGGAGGTGCCTGAGGCCCCATTGCTGAGGGTGTTCAAGGGTAGGCTGGACATGCCCATGGTAGGCATGTCGTGAGCAGAGCCAGCTGGAGCCGGGGGGCAGACTTGATGGCCCGGGAGACCCCTTCTGACTCGCTCTGTTTCTATGTTTCTAGACATCTGTTTATTAACAACAGATGTATTTGTTGTTTACTCGGTTTCTGGAGTTCTGGCTTATGAGTGCCTTTTCCTATGTAAATCCAAGACAACAACACCCATGTGCACATGGAAGGTCTCAGCACACTGGTGGGATCTACAGTTGTAGAAAACAAGTCTAGGGGAAAAGATGCCCAAGGGGACAGTCCTCCCCCGAAAAAAACCCCCAGCCCAGTGAGAACTGAGGTGCTCAGTGACCACAGAATGCTGACACGTGTTTGTGGGGCAGGGAGGAAATGAAAAATCTCTGGGGTGCAGGGAAATGATGTGGAGTGGCTGGAACCCTGAACATATTGCAATGTGAGGCGCAGGTTCACTTGGAGCACTTCTGCTCCTCCTCGTTGGAACTCCAGGCAATCCGTTGACATCCCACACGGTCTGCCATCCAGGCACGAGTCTGCGGAATGCGAGCCGCCGGTGTGCGATCAGCCTGTAGTCTGCATGGGTCACCTCATGCTTATTACTCTGGTAACATGCGTCAGGCGGGGCTGCCCTTGTACAGGGTTTGGAGGCTGCCGCTGGCGCAGAATGTGAAGGCTGGGCCCCTGGCTGAGTGTGTGCCACACTGGTGTGGAAGCAATTGCTGCAAGAGGCAGGCTCAGGCTGGTGCCTGGGCCATCTTAAGCTCTAATAACCCGGGACCAGGTTGTCTGGTGCATGGCCTTCCCCAGTATAGACAGACCTGTGCACTTGCCAATGTCTGCAGAAGGATAGTTGAGCCGTGACTTACGGATTGTGGTAGTTGGAATGTCGGAGTGGGGACCTGGGAGATCCAGGTCTAGTCTCCTCTCAGCCATGAAGCTCCCGAGGTGACTTTAAGCCAGACTGATTATCAGCCCAGCCTACCTCACAGGGATGTTATCATGAGGATAAAATGGAACTACGTAAGCTATCCTTGGTCCTTTACAAGGAGGAAAAGGTGGGATATAAATGCAGTGTAATAATAAGAATCACACAACAGCAGCCAGAAAGTGGGCCTTCCCTGTGGTGTAGCACACTTTACAGAAAAATACCCTCCTTGCTCTTATTCCAGCCGTGTCTCATTGACAGCTCCGGTTGTTTTAGACGTCTGCAACTCACATATTTATCCAGGCCTTTCCTGAACATTTGGGCTGCCCAGTTCATTTGTTTAGTCATTACACTGGTGTTAGATCTTTTCAACAGTTTAACTGCTGAGTTTTTTATATTATGATGCATTTTCATTTTGGATGTTAGATATGGTATAGAGTAGATAAATAAAAGAATTTGGGCAACACATATTCATAATTTCTTCCAGACTGAGATTAGCACAGGGAGTAATCCAGCTGGGGAATGCTAGGAGGTGCAAGACTTATTTCTGTCTAAACATGCATGGAACTGCATCTTGTGATTAGTGCATTAGTAATCTCAAATGGGAATGTTCTTCATAGACTTGTACCACTTTTAGGCTGCAGGTCGTGGGCTGTATCGTTCCCTGTTTCCCCCAGAAAAGCCCCTTAAATAGCTTCTAATAAGAATGTTGCCCCATACAATAAAAACGTCGGTGACTCATCTGCTTTGTACTCGAGGCATCGATGACTTGGTTTAATTTAATATTTGCATATTACTAAAAATGGGTTCTGAAGCAGCAGGGACTGGTTTGAAATCTCTCTCTCCTTACAGTGCCTGGTTACCTTTGAAGATATAGCGGTGTATTTCACGGAGAGCCAGGGTGCTCTGCTAGACCCAGATCAGAAGGCGCTGTACAAGAACGTCATGATGGAGAATTACGGAAATGTGGCTTCACTGGGTAAGGAACTTGCTGTATTGTTTTGCAAGAGATGAAACTCTGGAGTGATCTGGAGGCAGGCCAGCTGGAAAGAGAGAGGCTCAGTCCTGGCTGAAGCCTGCTTCCCACCCTGGTGCCTTTCAAGTGTTTTGGACCACAGCTCCCAGCATTCCTGGCCAACCATCAGGAATGTTGGCGGTTGTCATCAGACCATTTGAGGATTGAGCTGTCGTTCTCTCTGAGATCTCTTTCCTGATCAGTCACCACCGGCTCTGAATGTATCAGTGCACAAGTGAAGTTAGGATTTTGTGTGCATTGCTTCACACTTCTCATTTAGGAACCTTTGATAAACTTCTGAAGAAATGCAAAGTCATCTCCTTCTTTCCACCGCCCCCCCCCCCCCGAAACCAGTTTGCAGTAGCATGGTTTTTTATGAATTACCCAGAATCACTGAGTTGGAAGGGGCCTAGAAGGCCATCAGGTCAGGACTCCAGGTAAAGCATCCCTTTCAGGTGGCTGTCTGGATGCATCTTGAATGCCTCCCGTGCAGGAGAGCCCTCAACCTCCCTAGGGAATTGGTTGCATTGCCGTACTGCTCTAACAGTCAAGAGATTTTTCCTGATATCTCGTGGCACGCTTCCAAATAGCAACTTATCCTTTCATGTTGACTTGTCTGCAGGTTTTTCAGGCCCCAAACCTGAACTCATCTCCCAGATGGAACGAGGAGAAGAACCATGGGTGCCAGAAACGCAAAACCTAGATGAAATGGAGATCTCCAGTGCCAGCTCAGGTGAGACACCTCATCCCTTGAGGTCCCCCCTTCCAACCATTGGAGATAGACTGGAACAGTCGTGGCCTTTTGTGAACCAGTGGGATCTCTTCTTGCGCCCCAGCTGTTGCATTCAGGACACCAGATGTTAATCTGTGGGTATTGCGTTGTGATGGCAGAACTCCTCATTTCATGTCCCCAAGCCCTGCTTTAACTTCCTGTGCTGAGCAGGAGGTTGGACCTGTTTCACCCCTGCTATTCTGTGACTTTACGTATATATTACAATCACAAAGCCCACTGCTTTGCGTGTTCTCCACAAAGCGTCCCCCAAACCTTCATGCCTGCCCCGAAGTAACAATGGTAAGAAGCGGCACAATGCATCAGTCCAAACTGTGCGTAAAATGTGTACAGTCCTATGCAGAAAAGGTCCCGCATTCCCAGCGTGCCTGCTCAACACCCAGACATAAGCAAATGCTTTTTGTTTAAACTTCACAAATTTGAAAAAACAATGTGGTTTCTGATCATTTTTTAAAATCATGTTGCATGCAAATAGTTCCCTTTTAAAATGGAAGTATTTGTTGACAAAATCAATCTTTTGGCATGCACTCAGATTCATTTTAATACAACAAATCCATTCCAGACAGAACCAGGTTTAAAACTGAGTTTTTAAAGACTCTAAAGTTTTCATACTTTAAAACTAATACATTTTGAGATACACTCACAAATCTTCCATGCATTGTATGACCAAGGCATAGATGGGTCCTGATTTTGGGGAAGCCAGTGTGGAATGATTTTGGAAGCAAGCAGTACTTGCTTTTTTGCCAAGCCAGTAAGATCAGAAAGTGGGAAATTACGATGCGAGCGTAAAAACATACTTTTTCAGTAGGAGACATATGTTTGGGTTGGTTTGTTTCTTAAATCACATTATTTGGCTGCAAACAGACCCCTTAAAAATTGACAAGCCATAGAAGAAAAAGAAGCTTAGAAAGAATTGGCTTGCAAGTTCCCATCACGCCTGGATTGTTCTATTGGTTGCTGCCGCTGCGCTTGTACTCTCTCTTTCTCTCTCTGACACACACCCTCTCTTTGACTTCCTCTTTTAGGTCCAAAGTTAAATTTTACTTCAGTGTAAGTGGCCAGCTTCAGACAATATGATAACCTATTATGCATAAGTAGCCATGGTTGATCGATCATGTTGTCTGAACCCAGACCACATCATCCTTGCTGGGCTGTTTGTTGGTATGTTTTGTTTTTTCCAAACAAGCCGTCCTGAGAACCCATGGACTGTTCTAGGGGTTGTTTGACCTGCCATGTTGCCCAGGAGAGCAATTTCATCATGGGTTGTTGAAAAGTACTTTAGAGTTGCTGAGCAAGACCAGCAAAAGCCGTTGCTGCTCCTGAGCCCTGCCCAGCATCCGGCTTCATTGTTATAGTTTGTCTGCCCCGGCCTTTTCTGCCTTTCCCTGTTCCAGCACATTTTGCTACTTGCGTTTCAGCATTTTTTCTTGCTTATTTTCTTGTGAGCGAGCTGCATAGAATATGCGCAGCAGTCTCAAAAGAGCCCAAACTTCTGCCACATTCTGCTTTTCCTTCCACTGCTCCGGTCTCCCTCCACAGATGTTAAGTGTATTGTGAGGCTCCTATGGAAAAAAGTCTGTAATTTCTTAACAAAAGTGACTTCAGGTGTCCTTCAATCATGCTATACATCCAATTAAAAATCAATTTGGGTAAAATTAATTTCATTTTTGAAATTGATCTGTTCCAAGAGTCTTCACCCAACTCTTTTTCCGTGAAGCCTTTTCACCATTACTTGGCTGTTCCATCTAGTAAATACAGCACAACTCAGACTCATGGCCATGGCCTGACAGCCGTCCCAAAGGCAGGGAAATAGATAGATCCAGCACTGATGTGGCACGGTTCCTAGACCTTTGCTGCTCTTGCAATACTTCCTGATGGATCTGACAGAGGAGGCCAACACCGACTCGTTCCCCCTCTCTTTTCATCAGCTCCAGATCCCTTGACAGAAGCATCGCAAAAATGGGCTCACGAGGCGTCTGGTGCCCCAACGGAGGCCGAAGGAATGCAACACCCTCAGAAAGTTAAGACGTACTTCTGGTCTGAGGCTGAGCTTGCCACATTCATAGATCTCTGGACAAGCCCAGAGGCCCAAAAACTTCTGCAGAGCGCCAGGCACGACAATCTCTTCCCCTGGTTTTCAGAGCAGATGCTAAAGCGAGGTTACGTGCGCTCCCGCTCGCAGTGCAAGGACAAGCTGCACAGCCTGAAGAAGAAGTTTAAGCAGATCACAACGCACAACAAATGCTCTGGTGTCACTCAGCGCACCATGCCCTTCTTCGACAAGTTGGCAAGTATCCTGATGGATCATCGGGATGTGACAGCTGCTGGCAGCGGGATCGCTTCCCCGCAGCCTCCGAGGCTTAAATACCACCCCGTGAAGACCTACCACTCCCCAACAAGGGAGTCCTGCTTCCTGACTCCAGATGCATCCAGGCGTGTGGAGCCCTACCCTGTAAGGCCACCCGCTTCCAGCACACCCCACCCAACGCGCCACAACCTGTCGGCAACGGTTTCCAGGCCCCCGGAAGCTGTCCTGCCCAGGCACCTGTCTCCGGAGGAGGAGCAGCAGCAGCAGCAGCAGCAGTGGGAGAATCACAGCATTACCGACCTGGACCGGATGGTGATGCGGACCCTTGCCCGCAGTGGCGAGCCCCCTGAGGACCCGAGCGGCCAGCTGGAGAAGAACCTGACTCCTTACCTGTCGCAGACCATCTGGGGAGGAGAGCCGCCCCCGCCCGAGTTCGACTTGGGGCACCTGTTCACCGATCCCAGCGAACTGTCCGCCCCTCACTTTCCCGAGGAAGAGGACTGCAGGGAAGTCCCCGAGGGAGAGGAGGAAGGAGAAAAAGAGGAGCCGGAACAGCCCGCGGAGCAACATTTTCCGGCCGCAGCACAAGCCTCTCAGCCGAGGAGAAGCGCTCCCGAGGTGAAGCCGCCCCTCACCAACGCACAGCGCGCCGCGCGCCTCAGGAACAAGCGCAAGACAGACCGCGTGCAGCTCGCACGGGACTTGGTCACTGCCATTGAAACGGCCGGGGAGCGCACCTACGAGCTTTCCAGGGAGATGAACGAGCAGGAGAATAAAAGGCGGGCCAGCGATCTGCTGCGAGCCGTCCGGTCGACCTGGACCATAGCCAACAGCATCCGCGCGTCGGGCGAGCTGCTGCGCCAGGGCATGGCAGCCTCCGACATCGTCTTCGAGCGGGTAATGATGGCTCGCACGGCAGCGATCGACCGGCAGACCGATGCCATCCGGATGCTCACGGCAGCTTTGCAGACTTTTGGGCAGGGCCAACAAGCGCAGCCGCCATTCCAGCCATATCCCTGTGGCGCAGCACAGGAATTTATCCCTCCTTCCTCCTCCTCCTCTTCCTCCACCGCTCCTGTCACTACCACCCCCTGGTCCTCCGCCTTTACTACTACCACCACCTCGTCCTCCGCCTTTACTACTACCACCACCTCGTCCTCCACCTTTACTACTACCACCACTTCATCCTCTGCCTTTACTACCACCACCCCCTCCTGCTCCTCCACCCTTACTACCACCTCCTCCTCCTCCACCAACTTTACTACCACCACCACCACCATCTCCCTTACCTCTCCCACCATCAACAGTTCCTCCTGTCCCACCACCTCCTCCTCCTCAGCAGCTCCATGCTTTGAACCCTTGACCGGCTGAACTCCAGCCTGCCTCCACCTCCTTTTGTGGCTCTTCCACCCGTGCTGCTCATCCCAGGTGTGATGGCGGCACCCCGCGGTGTCCTCGGCCACCCCGACAAGCACCTGCAGTCCTGCTTGCACAGGAGGAAGCAGAGCAGCACCCTCCAAGATGGCCTGCAGCTCTCGCTGCCGGCTGCGTCCTGCCATGCAGGCAGGCGGGGGAAGGCGCAGGCGCCCCTTTGTCCCCCCCCCCCGCCGTGTTGCTCCACCCCTCGCGTGGCCCGCCCTCTCCCAGTTCACAGGCTTTGTCCTTCTGTCCCTATCCCGTCCTAGTGGTAGCAAAATAAAAATTCGCACTGGGAGGCGTGCCCCGGTGTGCTTTCAAGAACTTTTTCACCCCACCATTCGCAGCAGTGATGGTGTGGTCCGGCCAGGCATTCAAGCAAGGAGGAGGGAGCTCTGGGGATGCCTCCCTTGCGTTTCTGGATTGGAGGAAGCCGATCACGCCAAGAGCTGGAATGCAGTTTCTTAGCATCATCATTGCATAGCAGAAACTTGTGCAGCTGAGCATGCATGTTGTGGGGGGATTGTTTAATATTTTGCACCTTTGACTGTGGCTCAATTCAAACTCCAGAGTGTTTCTTGCTGCTGCTGCTGCTGCTTCTGGCCTCGATTCTCTCACGGAAGTAACACCACTAATTTCACTGCCTACCACTCTGCAGGAAAGCCAAGGGGGATCTTGGTTAATGAACCAAGGCCCACCTACTGCTATGCAGGGCCCTCCACTAACTCGTTTGCATTTCAGGATTCCCCCACCATCAGCTCCCCTCAGTCCCAGCTGCTTAAAGCCATTTTACATTTTAAAGCCAAGCTTAAAAGCCGTTCTTCCTCCTCTGCTCATTTTTTTGTATAGGAAGGATTCACATGACACTGGAACTCCCACCGCGGTATAATTTTTGGGATTATGCTGCTCCTGCCAAGTGGCTTCCTTGTAGCCAGTTTTGACGGACAGTGGTTCTGTCATCCGCATTTGGCCCGCACAACCTCTCTCTGGGGGGGAAACTGACCCAGCTACAAACTAGGCTTCAAACCCCCAGAGGAACCTCCCTGACAGACCTGTGTCTGGTTCTCACACACCCACTCACCTTGTGGCTTATAAGCCACCGGGGGTTCTCATGTCGCACAAATGCACCCGGTCCCTAAAAGCAAGGCTTCCGTGAACAGCTGCTTCACTCGCACACCCACCACTGACTGGGCTTGGCATTGCTAAACTCGCCCAGCCTCATCCTTTCCTCCATTCTGGCTCCAGTCCCTCTTCTGCTTCTGGTCCTCCCGTCTTCACAGCTCAACCACAGTGGCACTTGCCTGCCCCTCCGCAGTACCGTCCTTTGGGAAGTGCGGGAATGCAAGCGTGGCTGATGAATCTGCCATGAAGACCGTCGCTGGTCACCGTCACGGCCGGGATGAGCTCAAGTGGCGCCATGCCGTGCCGAATCTGGAATCCCTGCTTGCTGTTCCGCGTGGCCACGGCGCAGGGAGAAGCAGACCAGGGAGCTCTGCACTGCTGCAGGTGCAGATGTCTGTGGTGGTCCTCCCTCTGCACACAGCCGGATGTGGAAGATGGTCTCCTACCAAATGCGAGTGTCGCTTGCGGCATCCTGCAAGACGTTTGCAAGCCGAGGAGGGAGCCAGGCCAGCACCCAGGCTGAAAATGATGCTGTGGCCGCAGATAAATTCCCCCAATCTGTTCCCTCCTTGAACCCAGCGCCTGGCAATGGGAGGCACCTGGTGCCCTCGAGGCTGTTTCTTCGTGGCCTGAGACATTGGCCCCGCATGCGCAGGGACCGTGTTCAAGGGGATCCTCAGCAGACTTCTTAAATCTGTTTGGATAGGAGGAACACGCTGGGATAGGCTGCCCTGCCTCCCTGGTGCAGAGGTAGTCAGACTCCATGCCAGCGTCTTTCGCCAAGCCGAGCCCCTCTCCCAACTCCTGGAGTCGCATTTCTCTTTGCCTGCCCCGTCATTATTCTGGCCAGGCCCCCTTCCCTTTACTTTGTAGGAGATTCCATTTCTGCATCACTCACCACACTATCCCTGCACCTAACATTCCCCCCGTGAGCCAAGCCTTTGGCCATTCTGTGTTAGATCCTCAAAGGGCTTTTCTAGAAACTTCTGATTAGTAGCCAGGACTGTTCTTACGCTTTCTAGAATGGTCTGCCTAACTTGCTAGTAATTCTGTTTTACCAATAAAGTTTTTTAAAGAGTGGCAGAGCTGAATCTGCTTGAAGCATCCAGTTATCCAGCTAGGTAGTGGCTTCTGGAGATTGGGGAGGTGGTGCCCGTGGGTCTGTGTGTGGGGAGGGCGGAGAATTTGGCTAATAGCATGTCAGGGTGCCTTGCCAAGTGAGGCTGGGGTAAACCAGAAGGCCAGTTGGCGTGGTGTAGGGTGGGAGAGGAAAGTACACGGAGAGCCAGGGTCCAAACTACTTCTTGAGGAGATGGAGTGCAGAACTGGACGAGGGGAGAACAGGAAACCGGGGCGAGCAGTTCTTCGGCTGTGAAAGAGCAGAGGGAGGTAAGCATCTTGTGCAAGCTAGACAAGCATTGTGCCGTCCATGGAGGAAGTGTGAGAAGTTACCGTTTTCACTGGAATAATTAGGACAGGCAGGTATTGATCTACCAAGGGGGGGAAGGTTGGGAAAACTTTCCATGGGAAGCCAGCTGAGGGAAGGCGAGCCCAGTGCATGATGGACTGGCAGCAGAAAGGCTGCTCTCCTGGGGAGCAAGAGATCGCCCAGTCGGGCTGCTGGCTCCTGTTACTGCTCTCTCTGTACCCCGCCTATTCCCAGTGATCAGGACTCGGGTTGAAGCCTGGACTTGTAAAAACCATGGTGAGGACGTGGGAACCCTTTCTGTTTGGCACCGTGGATAGTTGCCTTGGAGTTCAGAGGAACGTGGGAACTGGATCCAGCACTCCACCAACATGGGGGGCACCAGCAGCATGTGGAAATTCACAGAGGCTTCCGAGATACATACCTGGAGTGGGTAGGACAAGTCAGGAACAACACCATTGTGGGTTAATCAGCAAACAACTTCCCTGTTGTGGCCTAATGGCAGGGGAGCCCAGCCTAACAGGCCTGCAGGCCCAATATGTACCTCCCAATTTGGATTGGGTCTTTGACATGGCGGGGGGCGTGGGGAGATTAAAACATCCCCACACCATTTTTGTGCCCAACTTTTGAAAACTTTCCAAAAATTGCAGTGGGGTAAAATTCAGCATGAAAATGGCGGGAGGAGATTTACTGTCATCTTCCCTCCCCCAAGTCTTATGGTCCTGATTCAGGATCATTTGTACTTGCACTCCAGTAGCTTAGTCCCTACTTACTCCTGTGTAAGCATGTGCACCCCGATTTGGATAGGAGCCATGGTGATGCAGGACTGGGAGTTAGATCTTCTGCTCCTTCCTAATTTCTGGCAAAAGTCTCACCTGGGTCCATGGGGAGGTGGTTAAAAAAGCAAAAAACTCCAGGAAAAGTTATTTTTTCTTTCCTCAACTATCCTGTGGGGGAGCGGGGGGAGGCAGGAACTTCTAGACAAAAATGATGTGGGGAGCCGGGAGAGAAGGCAAAATCCCTCCTCCCAGGTGGGCACGGTCCCTGCCTGAATCAGACTGCAGGTGCTTAGGTGAATAACAGGAAGCTCTTCCTTTACCTGCATGGCAGGCTGAGCTGCTGTTCCCCCTCTGAGTCACCTGTTTTTGTTTGCTCTACCTGACCACCAAAATGTATGGCTCTCTGGGGTGACTTTCCTGTTTATTCCCTTGCTTTGCAGCAATTCCAGCTTGAGGAGGAGAAATCCGCAGGTAGCCCTTGGCCAGAAGCCTTTCCCCCATCCTCCCAACAGTCACTTGTGTGTGTGTGTGAAAGAGAGAGAGAAAGACAGAGTCGTTGCTGGGGAGGTATTCTGAGCATGTGCAGATGCCCAGCACATCCCCCGCTTGCAGCCAGCAACAGAATCTCCATGCAGACAGAAGACAGGTCTCTTCCTAGCTCTGGGGCGCACGGCGGAGCAGGAATGGCGGGGGAGGTTGCAGCAGGTCCAGCCCTGCCCAGCCCCACCAGCAGCTGCCACCTGGGACAGTGGCAGCTCCAGGCCTCCCAGCATTTGCCATCCGATGCTCCAGCTGCCTCCGTGCCTGCCCCGCTTTCACCTGCAGAGCCCCCTTGCCCTTTCCTCACCTAGGACGGGGCATATCGCCCCCCAAGTGCCCCCAGGCAGCCTGAGACGAGTGGCGTGGAGTGACGTAACACGAGCGCTTGCTTCCTGCTCCCCTTCGAGGGGCGCCCCAGGGGTGGCAGCCGTGCTCCCCTCCTCTCCCTGGCGCTCGCCCGCTTGCCCGCCAGCGGTCAAGGGCCGTGGCCACTTCAGCGCCGAAGGCAGCCTTGCCACTGTGCTGGGGCTGGACAGGAGCTGTGCTGGCGGGGGCCGCCCGGGCATGGCCCCGGCCTGGTGAGCCGCCTCACTTGCCACCCGCTGCCCGGAATCACACCTGCTCCTTCCCTCTGAGCTCGGTAGTCCTGCTGCGACTGGGGGATCTTGGAACTGGCCCCCTTTTAAACGCTGGGGAGGACATGGGCTGCAGTGCAGTGCAGTGCTCATCGCTTGAGCTTGCTTGTGAGGAAGCTGAAGGGTGCAGTGCTCCCTGGCACACGGGATGGGGAAAAGTAGCCGAGCTGATGCAGGGAATTGTGTGGGGCAGGGAAATAACTGGGCTCCGGGGAGAAGCGTGTGCATGAAATTTTCTGTGTAATCTTAAACATGTTTGCTCTGAAGTGAGTGATGCAGGAGAACAGCCTTCCTCAATTTTGTGCCTTCCAGACACAATTGGACTACGACACCCAGAATTCCCAGGCAGTGGCCCTGCTGGATGGGAATTCTGGGAGTTGTGGTTCAAATGCCTCTGAAGGCCACCAGGGTGGGGAAGGCTGCAGTGGAGTGTTGGACTAGGACTTGGGGGACGTGGGTTCTGGTCTGCACTTAGCCAGGACTCATGGCAGGGCCCAGTCCCTGACCCACAGCCTAACCCACTGCACAGGGTTCTTGTGGAGATAAGATGGAGTGGGGGGGGAGAGGGCTCTGGTCCCTTGCTGGGAAAAAGTGGGATATTAATATAAACATAAGGTCGTCCTGGGTTCAGTGGGATTTAATTCCGGCTAACTGAATGTAGGATTGGGATTCCCTCCTTAGTAAAGTCTCAGAATTGCAACCAGCCTAATTCACCCTGGAGATGGTACAAGATCTGGATCTAGAGAAGAACTTGGGAATTTTGGTAATTAAAACCAACCAACCAAATATTAAGCTAGCTATGCTGGTCCATGAGAAAGAAAAACCCCAAAGCCAAAGTTGAGTGATATATTAGGGCTTTTGTTCGGTCCGAATGAAAATGTCTGACTAAGATGAGTCTCCTAGAAACTTAATGGTGGCACATTTGGACTACATGTTAGGATTTCACAGTGTTAGAACCAAGGGCAGTTAAAACAGACAAAAAACACCTGGCTTTCCAGAATAGCAGAAACTACCAGCGTAAAAGTACATGCAATAAAAAGAGGAGCCACTTTTGGCCATGTCTGTCCTGCCTTTTCCCCTGGCCTGGGACCCTGAGCAACAGAGCAGCATCCTTTGGTCCTGAAGTCTCTATCTGAGGGAGTGAGAATCTCCACAGAAGTAAATCCCACTAGGTTTAATAGGGATTACTCCTTTTTTATAATAAGTTTTATTTGAAATTATAATCCTAAAAACAAACTAAAAACAACATCAATCATCAAAAACATTGGGCCTGCTGGGTCAGCCCCCACATTTTTTTTCCATTTATGATAACTTAAAAATATTTTAAATCTATACGTTTCCCCGTTTCTCTAGCCAATAATAAAAAGAGTCCCAAGTTTGATAGAAGTCAGTATCTTCCTTCTCCTTCAATGATAAAGTCTGTCTATCCATTTCTGCACAGTCCAGGATCTTTTTTAGAATCAGTTCGTCGGTGGGTAGTTCTTCACTTTTCCAGTGTTGAGCAAATGCAATCCTCGCTGCAGTAATTGCATGTAAAATCAAATACATTTCTTGTATACTAATGTCCACAGATATAATGCCTAATAAGAAGACTTCAGGTTAAAAAGCTAAAGGTTTTTGTAACATTTCCTCAAGCCATTGATGTATTTTAATCCAATACTTTTTCGCATTATCGCAGGCCTACCACATATGATAAAAAGCACCCAATTTATGTTTACATTTCCAACATCCATTTGACATATTTGGAAACATCTTAGCTAATCTATTTGGCAAGAGATACCATCTATAAAACATTTTATACAAGTTTTCTTTATACGAAGTTGCTAATGTTACCTTGATATTTCTCTCCCATAGCTTTTGCCATTTTTCTAATTCAATATTACATCTAAAGTTTTGTGCCCACGTTATCATGGTTTCCTTAACCTGTTCGTCTTCCATTCTCCTATCAAGTAAGAAATTATATAGTCTTTTAATCATTTTCTCATCTGATTTAAGCATCACTTGGTCAAATGCTGTTAAATCCTTATAAAAGCCCCATGCTTTATAGTCCTTAGCATATCTCGATTGTATCTGCACCTTGTGCCACCAAGAGATATTAGATCCCTGTTTTTGTGTTTCTTGATTCAATTTCAACCCTCCATCCTTATCCAAAATGTCATCATATCTTATAATCCCTTCAAAATTCAATGCATTTGGATATACAAAAGCTTCCATGGGTGAAAGCCATCTTGGTAATTTAGTATACAGTTTTATCTTTAACTTTTCCCACACCGACATTAATGATCTAATACAGTGACTTAAAAAAGAGCCATGTGACTTAGCCTTCTTATACCACATATAAGCATGCCAGCCCATTTGCAAATCATGCCCTTCAAGATACAAGGTTATCTTATTTCTTCAAGTTATCCATTCTTTTAGCCACTTAAAACAGAAGCTTGATAATACAACAATAGGGATTACTCCTTAGTAACTACGTTAGTTGCAGCCTAAGAGTGTGGGTTGTACACACTACAGTACATTTCCACACTCTCAGCAATGTGCTCAGTTTAGTTTGCAATTAAGTCACATAATTCTTTGCTGGTCCTAAGCACCCCATCCTCCCCATTTGGATTTAGGCCTTAAAGACCAAGGAAAAGTGTTGGGTATATGGAAGGCGAGTTTTAAGCAAGACTGATCTGAAACAGCACACAGCCAATAAGAGCTTGCATTCTATAAAATTTATATTATTTCTAATGATACACATGTGTTTCCTTATAAGAAATCAGCACATACAAATTTCTGCCAACTTTTTGCCCAATGGACTTGGATCTGGCTTCTTTTGGGATAATTGGCCCTGCCAATTACGAAGTATCAAGAACTACAAAGTAAAAAATAAAAACAAATCAGGGCGCCTGCCTCAGGTTCCCTGGGTCTGAAATGATTGATTGCTCTAGTGGAGAATGGCTAGCCACTCCCAGCATACACAGCGGTGGCCATTTTCTTGTGAACCAGCTTGGACATGCTTGTTTTTTGAAAGGTAGCATAGAAAAAACTGACATAAATAGGGTGTCACTAATTGAATGGGGAGACTGTGGGCATCCCATTTCCAATTGTTTCATCCTATTGTATATTTACTGCTGTGGATGACTCCAGAGTGGACTATCTTAAGTCCACTCTAGAAAATAGCAAACTATCTTAAGATAACAAACTATCTTAAGTCACTCCTAGACGTGGTAGAGAGAATGATGTAGACAGACTTAAATAGCAGCTGGTTTCAGACGGGAGAGCACCTGTTGTTTCAGAAGCCCATGGTAGAACTTGAGATATTTTTTTCTGAGATATTTTTTCTGGCTTGAACTAACCAAGGGGCATGCAGCTCCTGGCCTTCCAGTTGTTTTGGCCTGCAGCTCCCATCTCCCCTCAAAATCTACTCCTCTTTCTACAGCCCAAGCCCACAGTGAATGCAGTTCCAAATTTAGCGTAGGTTATTTCAGCTGCCATCAGCACTCTCTTAGAAGCAAATGTTCTACTTAAAGACACAGACATTTGCAGTAGGAAACAGACGTTCCCTTTTTTACAAGAACATAGATCAATGACATTTGTCCTTAAGCTAACAAGGAATTGCAGCTTGCAATGTTCAAAATCTCTCCTATTGACTGGGTTTGGCACATGGCTCTTGTCCTCTATAAATGGAAGCCCATGCCTGCTCATCTGTAGCGAAATTCTTCAACTGACTGATTGTATTCTTCAAAGTGTGCTGTTAATGGGCCACAAAATGTCTTTTTCTTAATCTTACTTTTGTATTCACTGATGAACAATTTCAAAGATTTACTGTGTATCCTAGGCATCTTTCCACTCTCACAAAGGCCTGCAGCTCTCACCTTGAATCCCTTTTTAAGAGAGTGGTGACTGTGGCTAGAATAATTGAAGTTTGGTTTCTTGTCATATTCAGTCGATCCGTGAGCTGTGGAAAGAGTGGCTTTTGAGGCAAGCTCTCTAAGACAGATGTTTGCTCTTGACTCAATAGCCATTTTCCCTCTGATGTATGATGTTGTCTGTCATTCATGGAAATAAACAAAAACAAGGTATATTCTTTTAGAAGAATGTGAATGACTGGAAGCATTTTTATTCTCACCAAAAGAATAAGATGATCCCAACCTTACAACCTCAGTTACAACACAAATAACCAATTTTCTCCCAAGGACACTGAACTTATTTTTCGTAATACCTGTTCTCCATAGCTGTGTCTAGAGTCTGAAATACAATTTTCTGTCGTGCATTCTCACCTAGGTGTTGATAAAATTGTATGTACATAATTTGTGTGTTCACATTTCATAATACGTTGATTTAGTAAACTTATGGACAGGGTTCAGACAACGCGATAACCTACACTCAGGCTTGATGCTGAATCATGGGTTATCGTGTTGTCTGAACCCAAGTTTTTTGCATATACCATGTGTTTTGGGTGAATTTGACTGCTGTAAACCTCCCAGAGAACTTCAGCTGTGGGGCAGTGTAAAAATGATGATGACGACGACGACGACAATTCATTCTATTCAGGAACATTTTTCTCCTTTCCCCCCCTCTTCTGTTTTGCTTGATATCCAGTCAGATTAAGCGTTTGGATGAATCCAAACCTTGTTCACTCTTTTCTGGCATATTAGGTAGACCTAGTAAACATAATTCCTCTACTGTGCTTTTCCCATTCTTTCTAGTGGGCTGAAGTAGCTGGCTTGGCTCACCCCCAGCATTTCCATTCCTTTTAGGTGGCTGGTTTTCTGTGGCATTCAGTTTATACTTAGGCCTTTTACCCTCCCAAGCCTTTTTAAAATCCTGCAAAAACTGCTCTTTGTTCTATTTTAATGGCATGCTTACTGTTGTGTTTACCATTGTTTTTATTTTTCAACATTTTGTTATATTACGTTTGCTGTTTTTAACACTTTAAAGGGATTATTTCAACATGCTTATAATGTGGCTTTGTGTATTTTCTGTTTTACTCCCTGTGTCACCTTGAGAAGTTTGCCTGCAGGGTGATTCAAGAATGGAACAAAAGGATGGATAATCCTGATTCTGCTTCTGAGCTGCCTTCCCCTCTGTCCCCAACAGTGAACCTTGTCTGTATTTTGTCCTTTATCCTCTCAGGTGACCCTGCAGAAAAGGACTGCTGTTCCCACTGCGGGCAGCATTTTGGTGTTGTGCCACAGATCGTCCCCATGGGAAAGAAATCCTCCCAACGTTTGGCACGTGGGGCAGGCTTTGCTCCGCAGGCAGACCTCGTGAGGCAGGGGGGAGCCGAGATGGCGGGGAGAACCTACGCGTGTCTGGAATGTGGCGCTCAGTTCGAGCATCACTCCGCCTTCGTCAGCCACTGGAAGGCTCACACAGGAGAGGAGCCGTACGAGTGCCTTCAGTGCGGGAGATGTTTTCCTCAGCCGGCGGCCCTGGTGAAGCATTGCCGAGGCCACGTGGCGGACGAGCCCCAAGCATGTCTGGAATGCGGGCAGCGCTTCGCCCCCACGTCATCCCTGCCGGCGCACAGGCAAATCCACGCCCGCGAGGGCCCCCGCCAGTGCCTGCAGTGCGGGGGCCGCTTTGCCGACCACCCGGCCTTCGTGAGGCACCAGAGGGGCCACACGGGAAAGAAGGCCTACGGGTGCGTGCAGTGTGGGCAGCGCTTTGCCGACCGGTCCCACATGGTGGCTCACCAAAGGCTCCACAGAGACACGCACCTCTGCAAGTGTGTGGAGTGCGGGGAGAGTTTTGACCAGCATTCGGCCTTGGTCAGTCACTGGATGATCCACACAGGAGAGCAGCCTTATGAGTGCCTCGCGTGTGGGAAGTGTTTCCCCCGGCCCTCGGCCCTCGTGAAGCACTGCCGGGTCCACACATCCGAGAAGCCCTACCCGTGCTTGGAGTGCGGGAAGTTCTTTGCCCAGCAGTCGGGCCTCGTCAAGCACCAGCGGGTCCACACCGGGGAGAAGCCCTACCCCTGCTTGGGGTGTGGAAAGTGTTTTGCGGACAGCTCCTCTCTTGCCAGGCACAAAAGGGTTCACACGGGGGAAAAGCCCTTCGTGTGTTCGGAGTGTGGGAAGCGCTTTTCAGACAGGTCGAACGTTTTGGCTCACAGGAGGGTCCACACGGGAGAGAAGCCCTATAAATGCTTGGAGTGTGGAAAATGCTTTTCTCATCGGTCACATGTGGTGAAGCATCAGAAGTTCCACGTGAAAGAGAGAGACACTAAATGCCCACAGAAACTGCAGGGATTAGGCACAGATAAATTCGCCACTCTGAAGACATTCAGCCAAGAAGTACCCTGAGAGGCATTTTTTCCTCATTAAATGAATAAAGAACCATGGGCGATGCCAAGCAAGACAACAGAGCTGGGTTGAATGTTTGTTATAATAAATGTGTGTGTTGACTATAAGCAAAGGCCTACAATGAAATGAGATTCTGTAAAATGCATTTGTATTTAATATATAAATGTACAGCAAAGCAAAAGATGGTTGGGCTGCTAACACACTACAATATCTTGTGGCACATGTATGGTGCATGTGGCCGCCATTTTGAATATGCAACTCATGCTCAGGGGCTGTTGTGTTGTGTGAAGAGAGTGAGGGTTATGTGAGGGGGATTATGGTTAACCCCACATTATCCACACTTGGCACATTGGCACGACATGACAACCCCCAAGTAGAGTGTGGTGTTCAAGGGCACTGTGGCTTGTTGTGGGTTCAATAACTCACAAAGAGGCATGGCATGCCATCCAAATCTGGTGAATGTCATTCTGGTGAATGTACAGGGTTACCGCTTACTGCTAGATCATACTGCCATAGCCCGTGCTCTTAGAAGGAACAATAAGGAGCCCTTAATGTATACATTTGAGCTACTGATAGTTTGATAAGGCTGAACCATATTTGATTGGTTGTCACAGTCAATTGGATCACTGAATAAGTAGATGATTGTTAGCAGATAATTCCACAATCAGATCATGGGGAGTTTGAGCAGTATGATCCTGAAGACTATATGACAATGATTTCCCCCTAGGATCCAGATACAGGGGATAGAACAAAGGTGAGATATGTGATTGTCATTGTGACTCCAAAAAGAAACACATTACAGTTCCACAACTGTGTTTATTCTCTGGGGTGATGATAACATATCGCAACAGCTTTGTCCAGAACTGGTTGCTTTGATCTGGTTTACACGAACTGCGGGTTCTTTTCTAATCATGGGTTGTCTGAGAATGTGGAGGGGGAAACGAGAGCCCTGGTCCCTGACTGCTCACCCTTCCACTCCCTTGTTTAGCTCCCAGATGACCTGCTTTCCATGTCCAGATGCCACGTCCGGGAATGCCAGAGTCGCAGCAAACAGGGCCCTTCCTTGCCGGCTGCCACATGGCGGCCGCTTGCCATTATGTGCAAATTTGGTCACTGAGTGACCCTCCTTCTGGGGCTCAAACAACAGATCTCTAGTGTTACCAGTAGGCACTGTATACCTTTTCTATTCTATTTTTCCTTGTAATGAATTTTCTGCACTGAGAAAAAAAGATGGAAGAAGTAGAAAGGAGGGGGATGACCATCAGTATCCCCCCCCCACACCGCCCATTGCTTAAAGTTTTGCAGAGGAAAGTGAGTCGGAAGGGGCCTCTCGGGCCATCTAATCTGACCCCCTGTTCTAGTCAGCTCCGCTTGTGTAATCCCCAACATGTGGTTGTCCAGTCTTGCCTTGAACACCTCCCTGATGGGGCTTTGACCACCTCCCTTGGAAGCCCATTCCATATCCAAGGGGTCCTAACTGTCAGGAAGACATCCAACCTCAAGCCTGGTTCCTTGAGCTTTGCCCCACTGGAATATGTCCTGCCCTCCACTGCAGGGAAGGACAGGTCATGGCCCTCCGCCGCATGACATCCCCTCACATACCTGCAAGTCACTAAAAGATCCCTCGGAGTCTCCTCCAGGCTGAAAAGACCCAGTTCCCTCCATCTCTCCTCATATGTCGTCCCTCCCAGCCCGGCTGCCGTTCTTGTAACCCTGCACTGAATTGATTCCAAGGTAATTATGTCTCTCCTATAATGTGGAGCCCAGAACTGGATGCAGTTCTCTAGTTGTGGGTGCACCAGAGTCGTGCAGAGCAGTATCATCATCTGGAAGCCACGCTTCTGGCTATACATCCAAGGGTGGCGTCTGCCTTCTTAGCTACTGTGTCATATACTGCTGGCTCATGTTCAGCCTGCTTTCAACCAGCACCCCGAGGTCCCTTTCACAAGTGCTGCTCTCCAGCCACTTGTCCCCCATCCTGTACCTCTGACACCTATTCTGGTGTCCCAAGTGCAAGACCTGCACTGACCCACATTGAACGCCATCCTGTTATTCCCCCATCCCCACTTCCACAGTCTGTCCTGGATCTGGATCACCTCCTCAGTTATGGCCACTGCTCCCCCTTTGATATCATCCACAAATTTAATTAGCAGGCTGCTTATCCCCTCCTCCAGGTAATTAATATAAAGGTTGAACAGAATCAGTCCTAGAACTGAGCCCTGAAAGACTCCGCTCATCACCAGCTGCCACCCTGATGATTCCCCACTGATAATCACCCTCTGCTTGCAGTCTATTAACCATGTCCTAATTCATTGGACAGTGCATTGATCTTTCCCAAAGCTCTACAATTCCTTGATAACCATATCATGCAACACTTTGTCAAAGGCCTTGCTGAAATTCAGGTAAACCATACCCACCGCGTCCCCTCCATCTAGCCACCTGGAGACCTCATCATAGAATCCCACAAGGTTTGTCTGGCAGGGTCTGTCTTTACAGAATCTGTGCTGCATAGCTGCCAACTTCCCACCCCATCTAAAGTTTCTAGAGCTTTGCATTGTCTTTCTCAGAATGGACATAAGGCTAACTGGCCTGTGATTCCCCATATCCCCTCTGCGACCCTTTTTGGATATTGGAACCACTGACGCCACCCCCCTGCCCTCTAGAACTTCTCCCGTTTTCCACGCAGCCTCAAAAATGAAGCCCAACGGATGCGAGAGCATCCCTGCCAATTCCCAAATTACCCTCCGGTGCAGCCCATCAGGGCCTAGCACCTTTGTAATATCCAGGGCCCTGAGAAGCTCCTTGCCTTCTAGAGCGGTGACTCCAATCTGTGTCCCCATAACCACAACCTCATCTAGCCCCCCAGGCAGATCTCCCCCAACCCACTCTGGGGAGAACACAGCAGCAAACGAGTCATTTAACGTCTGTGCCTGTTCCCTTACATCAGAAGCCCGCCCTCCCTTTCGAGTGGTCCCACTGCCTGTCTCCCCTTCCTCTTCCTATTTACACGAAGGTAGAAGCCCCTTTTGTTGCCCTTGACATGCTCGGCAAGTCTCAGCTTATAATCAGCCTTAGCCTTGCAAAGACTCCTTCTGCATCTCACCTTCTCCTCCTGGTACACCCTTTTGCCCGCTTGCCCCAGTGTCCATTTCCCGTGGAGGTCCCTCTTCCTTCTAATCCCTCTTGCCGCCTCTCCTTGCTTCCACAGCGGTGCCCTCCTACGCCTCCCTGTTTTGCTGGTCAGCGATATCGTTAAGCCTTGCGCTTCCGAGACCTCCTTTTTTAGAGCCACCCCCCCCCCC